GTCCAATTTACAATTATTTTCTAATATCTTTTTTGTTTCAAAATTATGATTACAATACTACAATAATACAGTCATCTGTTTTATAAAGGGGACATCAACATTTTGTTTGTAATTTCATAATTTATAGTTGCCATTTGCCTTCTTCCTCCTGTATTAGCTGAACAGGAATAACGAAGTATGTGAATCTTTAGGAAGCATGCCTGCTGTCTTACAGGCATACATTGATTCATTTAAACGTTTTTCCGAAAGAATGTCCAGGAAAAACTATTTTATTATTTTAACAAAATTAATACCTATTTAAACCCGAATAAAATGAGTATAGTTTAATGTAGGTAAGTACTAATAACATATACGATTTGCATGTATATGTAAAGCATTATAATGATAAATATTGATCATCTGTTTTGGCAAAAGTTGAACGCACCTTTTCTTGACGAGTCGAGTCCACTTTCAAAAAGAAATTTCTCCTTTAAATGTGAAATTTGTTTATAGCGACGTAGCGAATACGGTTTTAAACTACCAAATTAGTTAGTTTTCTATAATTCGCATTCAATTCTTTGAAATAAATGAAAATGGGCTTGGTATATTTGTAATTAATAAAACTCATAAATATGTTACAAAACTGTTTAAAGTACCTTGCCTCGTTTGCATATATAATTTGTTAACACTTGTATGTATGTATGTAGGTATGTATGAATGTACCTTGACATTTTTTTTAAATACATCTTTTCATATTTACATATTTTTTCCGTTTTCGTCTAGCGATATAATAAATAAATGCAGTATTTAAAATAGTAAAAGTGTATAATTTTTTTTTCGATTTGTTATTAATACAGTCAAACTTCCCTAACCTCCTAAATGTAATCAGTGATGTCCGAGTTAGAGAAAATTCGTGTTATTAAAGAAAATTTCTGTTTTAGCGTAAAACTTGCAATTTCAGATCACTATGTCAGAGGACATAAGTACTTCGTTTGTATTGTCTTTTCCTACCACAATGTTGTGGTCCTAACTTAACCGTTTTTCCGCTATTTTCCGTGGTATAATATATTAAGTAGCACAGTACAAATTTATGTTAGTAGTAGTTTCGCTTAAAAACATTCAATGCAACAGTTTTTATTAACATATACCTTAGCTTTTACTCTTTTCGTCGCAACTGTTGTTTTATTTTATTTTCTTATATCAAATAGAAAATTTCCCGCGGTGGTGAATGAGAAAAAGGAAATTATCATAATTTTAGAGATAAAAATTATTTGTTTCGGACTTTGCAGACAAGAAAAATTATGAGAAAATCGTCAAAAAATACTGCAAACGTTAACAACAACAAAAAATTGCAAAAATAAATAATTTTGTAATAATGGCATATATCGAAACGTTTTTCCTGAATGAAAACTAAACCCATTTTCATGAAGATAAAGAAAAAGGTATATCTAAAGGCCATCTTTTTGGCGCTATGATGCAGAATATAATTGGAAAGTGTTTTTTAAATTATTTAAGAAAAGTCCTGGAAAACGACTGAAAGAACAGTTTTGAGATCTCTCTCTTCCCTAAATGTGATAGACTTTGGAGCCCGCATCGGGATACACCATAAAAAGTACCTTTCATAGTACCCACCAATTTTATTCAGGAAACTACCCTTTAAAACATATCAACTTTAAACTCAAAATTTTGATATAACACAATTAATTTTTTAATAAAAAACAAGAATTTTAAAACTATTTCACCAGAAAGTTGAATAATTTAGGTGATTTATTCAAATAACACTTCACTGTATCCGTTGAGGCTGTAAGGGTTAAGGGCAATTGAAGAAACAATTTACAGTATCACATCATGCCAATTAAATGTATCGACAATTAACTACCGTGATTTACACTCACCCAGAATTGGCGAAGAACTTTCAAGTTCATGTTTGTATTTGTACGTAAAGCAGCAGTTAGTTATCACGAACACGGTTCATTAAGGACTGCACATTTCATTGTAATATTTCTGAAGATGCTTCTGTGAGAAAGAGAAATCTCGTGGTGTTTGTTGAAGAAGAAGCAGAAGAGCCGTGGTACACGTTTACTGCAGCACCGCAAACATACGCACACACTCAACTGCCCATCGCAATTACCATTGTCACCGTGCACATGTAATTGTAAATGTAACCAAGACATTACTACACCCATTCTGTTACACGTATTCTTAGAAATTCTTACGACCTCAGGTGTTTCAAACTTGAAGATAAACATCGCGAAAAGGGAAATCAGAAAAGTTGGGTTGGAACAAATCGTTAGGATATAATTGACCAAGATTCCTCTATCATCTAATAAAGTTATTGTCTGATGTGCTCGATTAAAATAAATGTAACATTAACTGTCTGTCTTAATATTATTCAATCATAGGTCAAAACTATTCTAACAATTAAAAGTTAAAAAGGAAGACTCACCCCTTATTACCACAAAAAAACTTTTTTGAGCGAACACGTGTTTCGCCCACAGTCCCGCGTTGATGCCCACGCATGAAGTGGCCGAAACACGTGTCCGCTCAAAAAAGTTTTTTTGTGGTAATTAGGGGTGAGTCTTCCTTTTTAATTTTTAATTAATATTTACCACAGTCTCCTCTTTCTACTTTTATTTTGAGTTGTAATATACCTGAAGACTAATCAAATATAAATAAAGCTTTAAAACAACAGTACAGGTACATATACTTTATGAAACACCACCAACATTTAAATAGCAACCTAACCTTATTTTATTGTACTAATAGCAAACATGTCAATCCGTCACTAACCATTGGAAATTACCACAAGTACTGAAATATCAAAATTGTAGAAATGACCTCCGATTTCAAAAAGAAAATCATAAATACAAAAATTTGGTTTTTATAAAAGACTTGTATCAATATCTTATTTATTAAACAACTTTAATTCATTGCAACTGAAAATAACTTGTCAGTTACATATTGTCATGATTCAGGGACGCAACTATGGATGGCCCATGTATTGAAATCGTAAGCATTCAACTTCACATTATCCTTGACAGCTTGCTTAATGCAAAATTATGCAGCGTTTTTATTTAATGATTAAGGAGTATCTGTTACGTCTCCAAATCGACAGTTTTTGGAATTCTTCTCTCATGAACATGATTCCTAAATTGCTTTCTCAAGAAAATTTGACTTGCTGACCGAAGAACAGTGAAAAATAGCATATATATGCACCAGGGGAAGAAATAAACATGTGGTCTGAGACATTATTTACTTTTCTGCTTAGGTTCATAACTGATATTAACAGTAACTCGAGGCATCTTCGGTTCTATGGAAATGAAATTAAAATCTACTACGATGTGGTCATGATTACAGAGATCCTAAATTATATAAAGTATTTATAAGTAGGGGCTGCCGTCCGTCGGATCTTCCCTGGATTTGCCAGTTTTAAGAGCGTCCTAGGAGCGTCCGGACGTGATTTTTTATAATTATCGTCGGGGGTTTTGTGTTTGCTTACAAGGCACTGTTGTGATTAACTATAAAATTTATTTATTGCGAAATGAGTCTAAGGTAGACGATGCTAAATAATTTTGGATGGCTAGAAAGAAGGGTTTTCAATGCATAAATAATCAATGTCCAGGTTCTATCGCAAAGATTCGGGATTTTTAGGTTCCTATCCTGGTTCGTTGATTTGTGACAACTCTAGTATAATAAACTACCTTTTTATATACTGCCTACTTATTACTCATGACATAGCCAAAGTTCGAGTTGAAGAAACGACATTATTTTACTCTTGTTCTTCAGTCTTGGATTTGGGACGTTATGAGTTTTTTAATCAAGCGTCAGTTAAACAGCTTACATTCTTTTTTAAATATGCTTGCTCAGCTTAATAAGACAACACATACGCACGTGATAAGAAATGTTTATGTTATATGAAACTCCAAAATCAGTACAATCATGAGTTAAAATAAATGAAAGTTTGTTGAAATCAACCAACGCAAATAGATAGTACAAAAATATAAAATATGCAAATGAAGATTATGCAGATTATGTCGAATGAAAATAAAAGCGATGTTTAGAAATTGTATATGTTTCGCAAACAGTTTGTATACATAAACGTAAGTAAACATGTTTTTTTTTCCGGTTGCTCTCTCTGCCGGATCATTAGCTGTATGGAGCAGGCAAAAATCTCGCAAAGCGCGACTCATTTTGTTTATAAACAATCTGTATTTTGTGTTCGGCGCTCGGTAGCAAATCATTGACAGTTAATTTAAATATAGACCAATGTTCCAGTGATCTCGCTCGAATTCGGGATCAACGGCCGACCGATAATAGACTATTCGCCGTCGTCGTCGGCATCGCGATGTTGCCATCCATTTCATGTACCATTTTTATGATCATAATGTTTGCTCTTTTTTATCAAGTAGGTGCATCTGTTACGTACATTTATATATCGTGTTTGCATTCCTAATTTTTATCATTCAAAGGTGGATTCGTTGGAGAATGAAAAAATAGTGAGATTACTTAGGCAGTCATTGTTTTTTTTATTTCAACTGCATGGAGAGCTAGTCTGACAAATTCACGATAAGTATCCGCAGTTCTATCTGCATTTATTGTTGAGATCAAAATTAGAATTCATATGTCAAGGGAGAAGCAGAATCCTTGTAAAGTGAGTTACTCTACAAAACCGTCTCACTCTCGAAGAAGTTTTCTCGTAAAAGTATTAATCTTGTAATAGAAGATATTCATTCTTATATTTTCCTATGATTAATATTGAAAATTTTGCGTAAAACTATTGAAGAGAGAGTGACAAGTCCCTAATGGTACTGACGTAACTAAGCGCCAAAAACGTATGCCCCTCACTTATTTCTGATGAAAAGAAAAAATTCGCCTGATCTTTCCATGAAAGTACAGCAAATATTATTTTAGTTTCTAAAAAAGGCAAAGTTTTCTATTATACCATTCTGGCAGCTGGCAGTCTGGTATACGGTTGCCATCTCTAAAAGAGTCCAGAACCCGGACATGTCAACAGGTTTTCTTAAACATAGTCAGTGTAATAAAAAACAGTTGAAAATGTCATAAATCACCTTTTTATTTATTTTCAGACCTTAAAATTAAATTTAGTCATTTTTTATCATCATTTTGAATGTTCCTAACAAAACAGAATCTTATT